TTTTTTTTTTTATAAACAGTATATTTCTATTTGAAAAAAGATTTCTTTATGGGAAAAAAATAGTCAACTGTAAAATTACAGTACTTTGTTCAGCAACTTTATTTCAATGTAAAAAGTAGTGTCTTTTTTTTTTCCGAAACAGTTTTTTACTTATAGTCTTTTTCTTTTTTTTTTTTGCAAATACACTTATTTCTTCAGTGAACATAAATATAAACAAATTTTTTTGTTAGACCCAAAAAAAAAAAACAGCTTTTAGAGGAGTGAATGTTGGCACTAAAGTACCACTTAAAACAACAAACATTAAAAAAAAAAATAGAGAAAAAAAATAGTAGAAAAAAAAAAAAGGTTGAAAAGATTAGTTGATAAACAGAATGCGATAAGTTTGTGAAAATAATCTGTATCACCTTTATGTTGTTTTTTGTTTTTTTTTAATCTATTTTTTGATTACAAAACTTCAGCTGACAACTGTTAATTTATTACAATTCTTTGATCTTTGGAAGAAAAAATTGCTGTGCCGAAGTGGAAAAGCGTTAGTTTTTGTTTGGTACAATATGCAGTTAGAAGAAAGATAAAAAAAAACTAAAGAAGCATTTTTTTTTTTACAGAAAAACACTGTTTGCCGTCTGATTTTAGAGTACTTTACCGGTTCAAATCCGACTCCATACTGCTCTTGCAGCATACGAATTCGAAAACTTTGATGAGCTTGACGAAATTTACGCTTTGGCTGAAGTGACGGCGAATCGGTGTTTCGATTTTCTCCGGTACTTTCTACTGACAATTTTGGTGTCAACGCCGGTTTCACAACATTACCTTCAGCCACAGAATACTCTGAGTGACTTCGGGAATGTGAAGAAGTTCTGCAGTATAGTTTAAGCATCTTTTATGAACTTTTTAAATATTGATGACCAAATTTTTTTTTTTTTTTTTTCTCGTTTTTGCTAATTATTTTCCATTAAATAACAATTTGCTTTTGCTGTATACTGACCCAAACTGCTAATAGAACATAACCCAGTCAAGCGTGCTAATGTTATTGTTGATGAAATGTCAGTAAAATAGTGGCAAATTCAAATAACTTATTGTAAAGATGGATGGTAAAGCTGCTGTCACATATTGAATTATTATACTAAACAATGATCTTGTTGAACAACTGATCAAATTTTTCATTATCTATGAGAAGACGAAAGGCATTGTTTTGATTGATTCACCTACAGCTTTAATCAAGTGCATATTTTGCATTAACAACAACAAAAAGGTTCGGAAATAAAGCAACTATATAGTTTATAAATAAAGTTCAATTTTTTTTTTTTTTTTTT